TTTTTTTTAAAGAAATAACAAATGCAATCCACTATTTTAAACAAATTATAATATTAAAATACTGCAATTAAAAACGAAAATGATACATAATCAAATAATATATTAGGTTCTTAGAATCTATAATAGCTATAATTAGAATAATAATAAAAGTAAACATAATAAACAATAGAACTTAATCTATTAGTAAAAAGAAATAATAAGGTTATTAAAAAGTAAATCAAACAATCTTAATAAAAAGAAGATAAATAAATGATACCATTAGATAATATTGAAGATTTTATTAAAATAAAAAATAATATATTATCTTCTTAAAAATAAGTTTAAGTTGGTATATAATAAACTAATTAAGACATATAATTTTAAAACAATTAGTATAAAATTACAGATGCTGACAATTATTCGGCTAAACCCAAAAATTTTTTGTAGATTAAAAGAAAAACCGTTAAGTTAGTTTAAATCGATTATAAAGTCTATAAAGTTAATTAGATAAAAATACAATAAACGACAAAAACTAGGAATAAAATTTTTAAGGATAGTGACAAATAAGATTAAATAGGAGAGAAAATATTAGAAAAATCAAAATAATAATAATAATTTAAAGTTAATTCAAATGTAAAATAGTAATTAAAATAATTCTTTATTTTAAATAAAAAATAAAATTTACAATCAAAATTAATTAAATGATCTAAATATCTTTTTAAATAAAAATAGATTTATTTCAGTTTAAGTGCCCATAAATTATTTAAAAATTTATTTGCTTTAATCAATTTTAAACTAGAATTTTTAGAATAACTTTATAATATGTAAAATATATAATACTTATTAATTCGAATTCTATTATATTTAATTATCTAAAGTTTTTCTAAAAAATAATTTTAAATCTATTGTTATTATTAACTACAATTTAATTTATTATTTTGATAAAAGTTTCTATATATTTAATAATAATATATTTAAATGTTTAACTTGTTTGTTTTGTTTTTCTTTTCTATAATCATTATTTGTTTTTATAATATTTGTATTAATTTTTAAAAAAATATTTATAATTAATTAAATAATTAGTTACATTTTTATTTTTTTATGTTTTTATTTATTAAATTATTTCTGCATTTATTCAATATAATTAATACTATAATTGATATAAATAGAAAATAATATAAGATAGATTCGTGGATTAAAATAAAGTTATTTAATATTCTAAATTTAGATAAAGATATAATGAATTATATAAAAAAAATATAATATAAGAACATTTTTTTAAAAAATATAATTTTTTTTATTAATTAATATATTTATATAATGCTTAGTAAATTTGAATTATAAAAAAATTGTCTTTGTAAAAACATTAATATTTTAAAATTAAAGTATATATTTGCAATTAATTAAATATATTTTTTTTATATTTTTAAAAATGTTTAAAAAAATTATTTATAAAAAATATAAAAATTTTATAACAATGGAAAAATTATATGAATAAAATTTAGAAAATATATCATTAAAATTATTAATATAATAAAATAATAAAAAAATGCTTATAAGAAAATTAAATGAATAAATAAAAATATAAATATAAAATATTTTTATATTTATATATTATTTATTTACATAATTTTAATTTTTTATAAATTTTATATATTAAATAAAAATTAATATATAGATATATTTTTTTTAAAAAATTAATAGATTTTTTAAAAAATATATAATTTATATTTAAAAAGCAATTTATTTATTACATATTATTTTAAAAATATTTATTATTTATTTCTTTGTTTTAAATATTTTATTTGTAATATATTTTTTTATAACTAATTATTTATTTATATCATATAATTATTAATTTTAATAATTTTTTTTTTTAAATTATATAAATATTACTATTGTTTATTTTAAAAATGTTTTATGCTTATTATTATTTTATTTTTTTTTATTTACTTTTAATTTATTTTTATTATTTTATTTATAATTAAATAAAATAAAAATAATATTTATTAATTTTATAAATAAAAATAAAATTAAAAAATCTTATTATTTTCGAATAAATAATTTTTATAATAAAATAAATGATTAATAAAATGAAAATTAATAGTAGTATTAAATTTATTTTCATAATATTAAGTCTATTATCGATTCTCAATTCTTAAAAAAAAAAACTTTTAAAATAATGTTTAATGTCACACTTTTCGTCTTAAGATGCTTTTGACTGTGGTTTTAAGACTTTTAATTCATCTGGAATAGACATAACTTATTTATGTGGTTTCAAAACTATTGTAGGAGGATTTTAGTTATGTGGAAATAGCTGTAGTATATATTTTAGTGTTTTCTCAAAAAAACCGGTATTTAGTTATTCAATTAACTTTTAATATATAATGATTGATTCCTGGAACGAAGGTGTTGATTTTTTGTCTTTTAATATAAATGGAGTTCTTGTTACAAAATTATATAAAAATGTTGCTTTGACTAAAACATGTGGAAGAAACGATCCAAAAGAAGAATATTAATAAGCGAATATTGATTTTAAAACTAATGATAAAACCATTAATATTAAAATTACTAGTAGTTATGATAATGATTTTGATTCTTTTTAAAGATCTTTTGGAATTACTGAATTTGTAGTTTATGCTTTTGAATGTATGCCTTAATGTGCTAGATGTAATAACGGTACATCTTGTAGCTCTTGTTATAAAGGCTATTATTTAAATATAGATAATTGTTAAAAATGTATAGCAGGATGCTCAAAATGTAAAGATGGAATTTCTTGTGATTAATGTAAAATAGGATATTTTTATCATGACTCTTAATGTATTATTTCATGCCCAAAAAGAAAATATGAAGATAAATTGTCAAGAAATTGCAAAGATTGTAATAGTAAATGTGCAACTTGTTCTAATGCGACTGATTGTGATACTTGTTTTGAGAATAGGATTGCGCCTGATTGTAAATGCCCTGCTTATAATATTGATAGCTCGGATTACACATAAGCTTGTATTAAATGCTCTACTATATCTATTGGATGCTCTATTTGTAATGCCACTACGTGCTAAGCATGTCTATCGCCTTATTTTTTAGAAGGAAATTTATGTGTAAATGTTTGTCCTCCTGGTAAATGGGGAAATACGGTAAATAGATAATGTACAGCTTGCTTAGCTAAATGTGTAACTTGTTCTAATGCGACTGATTGTGATACTTGTTTTGAGAATAGGATTTCGCCTGATTGTAAATGCCCTGCTTAAAATATTGATAGCTCGGATTACACATAAGCTTGTATTAAATGCTCTACTATATCTATTGGATGCTCTATTTGTAATTCTAAAACGTGCTAAGCATGTTTATCGCCTTATTTTTTAGAAGGAAATTTATGTGTAAATGTTTGTTCTCCTGGTAAATGGGGGAATACGGTAAATAGATAATGTACAGCTTGCTTAGCTAAATGTGCAACTTGTTCTAATGCGACTGATTGTGATACTTGTTTTGAGAATAGGATTTCGCCTGATTGTAAATGCCCTGCTTATAATATTGATAGCTCGGATTACACATAAGCTTGTATTAAATGCTCTACTATATCTATCGGATGCTCTATTTGTAATTCTAAAACGTGCTAAGCATGTCTATCGCCTTATTTTTTAGAAGGAAATTTATGTGTAAATGTTTGTCCTCCTGGTAAATGGGGAAATACGGTAAATAGATAATGTACAGCTTGCTTAGCTAAATGTGCAACTTGTTCTAATGCGACTGATTGTGATACTTGTTTTGAGAATAGGGTTCCTAAATAATGTAATTGTCCTTAATATTCCTATGATCCTAAAGCTTTCAATTAAAAATGTACTATGTGTTCTTCGTTTTCAACTGAATGTTCTACATGTAGTAAAACGGAATGTCTTACATGCAAAACTCCTTAATATTTTTTATAAAATCAAAATAAATAATGCGATTCATGTTTAACTATAATGGCTAAAATATATTTTAACGATGATTTATTATCTTTAATTATAGATTTTGGTTATTATTATAGTAATTTGTAAATTGATGTGTATCTCTAATTAGATTTCTAAAGT